ACACTTTAGGGAAACAACAAATACCTTAACGAAATACCTTAAGCCAACAGCTATGGTAAGCAAACAACGATTTACAGCAGCAAACATCGATTTACAGCAGCAAAACAACGATTTACAGCAGCAAAACAACGATTTACAGCAGCAAAACAATGATTTACAGCAGCAAAATATTAAGCAAACAGCAAATATGTTAATCGATCGATCGAGATGATGAAGACGATGGCAACAGTCGATCGAGATGATGGAAACATCAAAAATTAACCCTAAAAATCGATCGAGATGATGGAGATGATGGCAACAGTCGATCGAGATGATGGAGACGATGGCAACAGTCGATCTAGATGATGGAGACGAGAGCAATAGTATCGATCGAGAGCAACAGTCTTGCGTTGAGAGAGGCACGATAACAGGGTATTGGATTAATGAATAAGAGACGTTGAGAGAGGCGTGAAGGGTAGGGTGTGTCTTTTACCTGGCTTAATCTAGACAACATAGGTTTCTCATCTGGGCGAATAAGCCCATTTCTGGGCGAATCAGCCCAAGGTAAACAGTCCTCTTTGTCTGTCCGAATAAGCTGATTTATGCACTAAGCTCGTTAAGCCCTTAGTAAACAGGCCCTTAGTCTAACCACGATTTATAGAGATAATGCTCATTTGAGAAAAATCCTCCAACTAGATTGTGCATTTTTTCGGGGAGGATTTCGTGGGGAATTGAAGGCTTCACCGAGTATAAAAACTGGTTGAAGCCAACTCTAAAAAAACACAAACAAAAATCAGATTTTCCTTCTACAATCGCTGCTCTCGAACGCTCTTTTTCTTCTCTACCAATCTCTGCATCCACCGTGCTCTATTTTCGTTTTGATCGCTGTTCATAAACGAAAAGTATACTGCATCAAATTCTGGGGCTTTGCGACTAGCAGACTCACAGCAAGAAAAGAGTTTTAGTATAAAACCTTAAAGGACAGACTTTACCGTGCAGATTACGATTAATCGGCAGTTTAATCAGGTTGGTTTTATATTAAGTGCATTGTATTTAATTTATGTTCACTTAGTGAACAATTTTGATTCTACTCCTTTCTTTCATTGAATCTATCGCGAAGGATAGATTCAATCTGTGTCAATTGGTATTGTGGGTTCTGAGCACAAAAAAGTTATCATCTTTGATATTAAAAGTTTTAACTTTTCCGTTAAAGATTAAAAAAAAAAATTATAAACGTTAAAACTTTATTTGTTTCATCTATCTTACTCAAATTAATTTTCAACATTCTTTAAGATTTTATACCGTAATGGACACCGGAAATTATCGAATTATTAATCAAGATATGATGAAACTCGAGAAATTTGACAGGTCTAGTTACACTCGTTGGACGGACAAAGTCAAGTTCATGTTGATGGTGGTGAAACTCTATTATGTTATGGACCCAAGCCTCCCACCTATTCCCGAAAAGCTGGTCCCTAAACCAAGGAAAGAACCGGATAGACAAAGAGTTGCCGATCTAGAAAAACTGAAAATGATTCGCAATGAAGAGAAAACTCTTGCTTGTAGACATATAAAGAATGTTTTGTCAAATCGTCTGTATGATCTGTATTCCCTGATTACTTGCCCTAGAGAGTTGTGGAAGACATTAGAATTCAAATACAAGTCACAAGAAGATGACACTAACAAATATCTTGTGTCTCAGTATTTAAGATTTCAAATGATTGATGAAAAAGCAATTCTAGAGCAAGTGCATGAGCTCCAAGTTTTAATGAACAAACTGAAGATGTTTTCTATTGTTATTCCTGAAATTTTCCAAGTAGGGGCGGTGATAGATAAACTGCCTCCATCTTGGAAAGATTATTCTAAAAAAATGATGCGCAAAACCGAAGATTATTCTTTGGATGATTTGCTAAAACATCTTCGAATCTAGGAAGAGGCACATAATCAGTATAAGAGAGGCAAATCTTTGATGAATGCTAACAGCGTGCAGGCTGGAGGCAAAGGTAAGGGAAGGGCCGGAGGTCCAAATAGAAAGTGGAACTTGGGTCCACAAAAGAAGAGTTTTAAGAGATCTGGTAATCAATTGAACCCAGGGCAGAAATTTAGAAGGGTCGGAAAGTGTCACGTCTACGGAGAGACAGGACATTACATTCGTGAGTCAAGGATAGAAAGTCCGGACCATCTGCTGCTAATTCTGTTGAGGGGATTCAACACCTTGTGGCGAATCTCCACATGGAAGAGATTGATATGATCTCAGAGGCCTCTACAAGGATTGTGGCTGGAAGAGGTGGCTGGTTCTTGGACTCTGGAGCCACTGTTCATGTTTGTGACTCCAGGTCCAAGTTTGTTAAATATGTACCGGTTCGAGACACATAGGTCTCTGACACAACTACGTGAGACAACTAATTGATGATGGTACCATAACTATTGTGTTTGTCAAGTCTTATAGACTTGGCAGATCCACTAACCAATCCCCTGACGAGAGACTTGGTAGGGTCAACAACTAGAGACATGGGTCTAAAGCCATGTAGAATCAGTTAGTTATGGAGACCCAAGTTGGATATAGTGCTCCTATCTACCAAGTTTAAAGGGTAACAACAAGTCACTTGACTGATAGAAGGTACTATCAAATGATAGATCCATGTAAGGTGAAAGATAGTACGACGTTGTCGAGAACAAGGATGAGTCAATCTCTTAACAAAGTTTAGAGGCATCTTAACAACGAAGATGTTATAGAACTTTGCCTATATGACTTAGAGGTGGTGCCACCTCAAACAAAGAGTAGTGGTTTCTCTTTTAGTAAGTCGTGAAACAGGGTTTAGCGCATGACCATATTAGCACTTAGTGAGAGAGCAAGGTTGATAGATGATGTATGTAAGTAAGCCGAAGTGGTCACAAGATTCAAGGTTTAAATTCTATGGATACCATTGGATTGATCCCTTCTTGCATACTTACATTAAATAATGTTTAATCTTAGTGACACCACTGTAACATTATCTACTATGAATGTCAGAAAACTTTCCAACCTGGTGGGGGATTGTTGGAAATTTTGTGGGTTGGAAGTTTGTCTTCCATCCCACATTGGTAGATAAAGAATTTCTAGAGAAGCTTATAAGGCTTTCTTCTAGAATTGGGTTTTGAACAAGTTGATGGACTCATGATGGGGGTCTTGAGTGGAAGGACCAACACACACGCGCGTGTATGGCCGTGCAAGATTCGCGAAAGTGGCGCAAGGACTTTGCACTTTGCACCAGAGCAGAAGGCCTCACCTCGAGCTCCGAGTATCTTTTTGGTACAAAGTTGAGAGGAGAAGAAAAATAATTTTTTTTCTAAATCATTTTTCACTTAGTCTAACCACGATTTAGAGATAATGCTCATTGGAAAAAAATCCTCAAACTTGATCGTGCGTTTTTCGGGGAGGATTTCGTGGGGAGTTGAAGGCTTCACCCAGTATAAATACTGGGTTGAAGCCAACTCTAAAAACACACAAAAGAAATCAGATTTTCCTTCTACAATCGCTGCTTCTAAACGCTCTTTTTCTTCTCTACCAATCTCTGCATCCACCGTGCTCTATTTTCGTTTTCATCGTTGTTTATAAACGAAAAGTATACTGCATCAAATCCTGGGGGTTTGCGACTAGCAGACTTGTAGCAAGAAAAGAGTTGTCGTATAAAACCTTAAAGGACATGTTTTACCGTGCAGATTACGATTYATCGACAGTTTAATCAGGTTGGTTTTATATTTAGTGCATTGTATTTATTTTCTCTTCACTAAGTGAACAACGCTGTTACTTCTCCTTTCTTTCATTGAATCTATTGCGAAGGATAGATTCAATCTGTGTCAATTGACACTCTATTGAGGTGTTGTGGTTTCTAAACACAAAAAGTTGTCATCTTTGATATTAAAAAATTTAACTTTTTCATTAAAGATTTAAATTTTTTAATAAAGGTTAAAACTTTATTTGTTTCTTATATCTTACTCGAATTAATTTTCAACATTACCACCAATTGAATATTTTTCAAAGAAAAAAGAAAAAGACACATTGTCAATGGTCACTGTAATTCGTGATTTCAGTTCATGTTTTGGTTTCAAGATATATCATCAAAGAAAAGTGTTAATATATTCTATTGTAAAGCATCGAATTTGAAGAAACCATAAGTATTTATATAAAAAATGCCCTCCGGCAATAGTAATCCTATACAAACTTGTATTTTAATATTTATGTAATAATATTTATCTAATACTCCCTATCAAGATGGGCGTGAATGGATATCATGAAAAGCCATCTTAGACAATAGTCTAGCAAGTTTATGATGAGGAAGACGTTTAGTGACCATGTTGGCCAACTAAGAATGAGTTCAAATAGGCATTAGTTACACAACATTACTTTCGACTTTCTTTCGAAGAAAATGACAATCTATCTCTATGTGTTTCGTCCTCTTGTGTGAGAAAAACAGGATTAGTAGCTAATCGGATGGCGGAGTTGTTATCACAAAACTTCAAGGCTGGAGAAGAAATACGAATGCCAAAATCTTATAATAGATGTTGCAACCACACAAGCTCACAAGTGGTAGTTGCCATTACTCGGTATTCAGCCTCCGTAGAGGACCTAGCTACCACGTTCTGTTTCTTGGAAAGCCAAGAAAATGAGAAACTAGTGAGTCCCTAGGAAAGACGCAATACCCCATGATGGATTGCCTTGTGTTTGGACATGCTGCCCAATCTGAGTCTGAAAAAAGCCTTTAACTTGTCTCAGAGCCGATATCACAATGCACGAAGCTGCATGGAGTTTTTAGCAAAAAGAAAAATACCTCGCCCATGATTCTTTTTAAGCAACCGAAGTAAGTAACTTGCATCTTGCATATGAGGGGTATAGGGACTACTCATGAATTGACTTAATCGATTACTAGAAATGTAATGTTTGGTCGTGTTATTGTCAAGGTTCAAAAAGGCGTGGCGTGGGGCGAGGTCAAGCCTCAAGCCTTACACGCCACAGCGAGGATGCATCATTTTTCAAGGCGTAACATCAGACGACAAATTTGTACGTCATATATAGAATTATATATATATATATATATATATATATATATATATATATTCTATATATTATTCTAATTAGATAACGATACTAAAAAAATGTACATTCATATTAGAAGAAAAAAATCATATAGATTATTATTATAAAAATAGGTTTTTGATTAAATATTTAAAGTAGAACTTAGAACGGTAAGTTTTATAACTTCATTTTAACCGTGAGTCTATATCGTTTATGAATTTGTTGAACTGTGAATGATGTGATTAGCTAGATCTATAAAAATGTAAAATCTAAAGTTAAAAATGTAAAAACATAAAAGATAAAAAATAAAAATAATAAAAAATTTGGAAAAAATCACATGTTACAAATGACGTGCCGCAGCGAGCCATGACGCGCCTTAAGACGCCATGGCGTGAACCACGCGTTACAGAAACACTATAGGCCATTTTGTAACGGCGGAGAAGCATCTTGTGGCATATTGCGCCATGACACACCTTTTTGAACACTGATTATTGTAAGATAATTCAACCTACCAATCAATCTCCGATATCATAGAAAGACAGAATTTTAGGATCCACAAGACATGTATTTGGTTTAGTAGCTAGCCGTCCTGAATCTTCCAACAATTGAAGTGTATAATGACGTTGGAATAGAAAAAATTCCTTGTTTGGATCTCGCAACTTCTCAAGTCCCAAAAATATTCAAGGTGACCAAGGTATTGCTAGAATTTTGGAAACAAAATATCAATATACTTGGATAATTCAAGGATCGTGTATAGACAAAATCCAAGATCAAACACAAAATTTTCTTGCTTGTTTATTTACCGACGGTATGCAAAAGATCGTTACCTTGCAATGAATCGAAATCGTATATATAGTTACCGGCGGTTAAGTCGGTTATTTTAGTGGGAGATGTGTCTGTTCCCAACAGATGCAACCGTTCGAGAGTTGGGATCCATTTCTCATATACGTCTGAATTTTCGGGCCTGTGCGCTGCCCTGAACCCCACAAGGGCAACTCCCCTTGACCCCGCCTGCTGACCGAAGGTGGATCTCCTTTAATCTTGGGCTCCCCTTTAATCTGGTAACTCGTAGGGATATCCATATATTTATAACCAGTGACCATGTATTTGTGACATCTAGTTGAATCAATGGCCATGTATTTTGTGCTGCCAAAGTGAGTAAAACCTTAATTGTAACCAGTTTTGAAACTGGGGAATAGGTATCAACAAAATCTAACCCCTTCTTGTTGTGTGAATCCTTTAGCAACTAGTCTTGCTTTGTAACGCTCAACACTTCCATCTGTGTAATATTTCACTTATAAACCTATGGAAAACCCACTAAATCATGTAAAAAGGGACGACACTCCCAAGTGTTGTTGGCGTCCATTGCATTCAATTCTTCTTGCATAGCACATCGCCATTCAATATTTGACATCATAAATCAAACGACTTTCTGTATGGAGATTGATTATCTATAATAGTAGATGGAGTAGGATTGATTAAGTAGGCAACTCTTAACACGCATTTTGTCCACAATTTGACGGTAACATTAGATTGGAAAAGTAAAGAGCGAGGCACATTTAGTAAATGTTGATGTTTTCTTTCGGTTACGAAATTTTGTTTAGGTCTCTCAACACAAGAATATTCATGTATGATGCTTTTTTGACCATACAATTCATTAAATTCTAGTTTCTTTTTTTAGCATTATCGGATCTAAAGGTCTTGATCTTTGTATAAATTTAGGATCTAATTCGGATATCAGAAGGATTACCAGGCCTTTACTTAACTTATGAGATTAGTTGAGTAGGCTTGCCTTAGTTATCTGCTATAAGATAACTAGTTTTGGGGCTTTCGACATAAAAAAGTCTCCTGCTCCCTCTGAAAGTATCAACTAC